TAACATATCGGAACTGAAGATTAGCAATACATGTGCAGGGCGTGATGTCAGCCCACAACCAGAGCACCATGTATAGGTTCTGACTTTTTGTACTCCTGCTTTGATGACGGTAAAGTCCCTAATCTTTTCCTGTTTTCCCAATAAGGATACACGGGAGTGGTTCTCCGTGTGGGCTACACCAGTGGATCAGGGGACAAAGCTGATGGCGCAGCTAGAATGCTCTTCAGAGTCGTTTGAAACAAACCAGGAAGGCTAACTTGAAGTCAGTCGGATGTATCAGCCGAAAGGTACACATTTCACAGCTATCCGGCAAACAAACACCAGGCAATGACGTCTTTGGATGAACAAAGACTATTATCAGAAATCTGTATACAGCCTATAGTCTGTGCGATGATGGGTTAGTCATTGTGTCAGGCAACATCCTTCTCTTTCGTATACTACTGCTCTAACAATTACTGATGCATAATAAATATCATTCCTTTTTTTTTTGACGTAGTGAGGGAGAGTGCAAAAAATGGTCTGTCATTAAATATAAAGAAAACGGAGGTAATGGTTATATCAAATAAAAGACTACCGCCACAGTGTGATATTAGAATAAAAAGTAAATAGTTAATCCAAGTCAGTAAATTCAAATATCTGGGTACAGTCGTAACATCAGACGGAAGAACTGAGTCAGAAATTTAGAACAGAATAGGCCAGTATAAGGATGCATTTCACAGAAATGAAGAACATCTTGTGCTACTAGTCCCGCTCTTTAGCTGCCTGAAAGAGAGTACTAAAATGTTACGTAAAACCCATATTGCTGTATGGTAATGAATCATGGAATGTGAATGCACAAATTAGAAAGACCCTAGAGGCGACGGAGATGTGATTTTTTTTCAGACGTATGTTATGAATTCTGTGCACTGCCAGAGTAACTAATGAGAATTGCTTGAAGGAAGCTAATGAAAGCAGATCAATATATACAGCTTTAAGGAGAAGCCAAGCACTGTTCTTTGGTTTTGTTATTGAAAAGGGGGGGGGGAAAGGGGGGGGGGGGGGGCTATGAAGAAAGTTTGAGGGATTTCGTCGGTGGAAGTGATCCAAAGAACAAGGGGCAGAGAGATATGTGGAGATGCATGAACACCCAAGCCAGTCGACAGGGCACATGATGATGATTATTATATAAACTGTTTGGCATCTTCTTTATTTGTCTGCTTCTGACCACAGCCGTCTCCATCTTGATGGTAATGGCTGTGCCCTGACCATCTTTCTCTCAAAATTTCCACGTGTCACTTCGTAAATCCTTTTTCCATACGCGCATAAAGAACCTGACTGATTTTTCAGACACTTATAACCAGTTCTACGTTCTACGTGTATTGTAACTTTTTTAAAGAAAAACATATCAATCATCAGTCTGTACCTGTCCGCGGTGTTCTCACCGTCTTCCATATGCCCATATATATATTTAAAAAAAATTAGTATTTTTTTTTGTCTTCGTTGCTCTTCTTCTGGTACGTTGCATTCCCGTCTACATCTAGGCTCCGATATCTACGCCTTTCGGTCTAAAAACATCTGATTCAACCAAATCCTTAATTAGTAGCCTTTCAGGACATGTTAAAAAAAAACATGGGGGGGGGGGGGGGGGGGGGGGGGGGGGGGGGGGGGGGGGGGGGGGGGGGGGGGGGGGGGGGGGGGGGGGGGGGGGGGGGGGGGGGGGGGGGGGGGGGGGGGGGGGGGGGGGGGGGGGGGGGGGGGCTATTGGACTCCAGAATTCGCACAGGAAAAAAAATTGTGTATACTCAAATTATTCGCCACTGTTTGGCTGGTTTTTGTGTGTGCTGTTTTTAGTCTCAATGTTTGGCTTAAAACGGTTGACGTAATCTGGCTAACCTGGAGGTGAGTGTCGGCCATTTTGATTATCTTTGTGATCGAGGTAGGAACATTGAACGATTTCATCGCCTTTTCCTTCTCTCTCACGCCTACTTTCGTCTTTTATGGACACATTCGTGGCTGTTTAGCTTTCAGCTGTAAGTTTTATGTAATTTATCTGTGGACGGACATTGTGGGAGAGCATGTTTGCGGCTAGCTATCAAGCCGAGTATCTCTATCTGAGCCTGCTTTCGAAGTCCGAAGTAAACTAGTAAAGTCGTCAGTACGGAGTACGGAGGAGCCTCAGCTGGATTCACGTCGTAGCCATCACAATTACAAATTAAAAACAGAAAATAACAACATAAAGGCATTATGTTTTTTATTATTCTTTATTCGTTGTTCCCCTCCCTCATGCATCATTTTCTGAGCACAAAGCAGTACTTCAACAGTAACAGCGTCTTGATACTCAGTATCATACTGAACTGATTTGTTTTAAAAGAGAAACTACGAAACTCACAAACGGATATCTTCCATACAATTTATTAAGGTAAATCCCAAGAGAATTTTCGGTTTCAGTTTCAAAATGAGTTTTACATAGAAACTAAACAAACAGTTGAAAGTAATGTGTATGATGTATTGAACTCAGCTGTATCATCTCAATTTCAGCGAGCAAATTTTAGTTTTAATATACTGATCTTAATTCTTATAAAGTATAGTATTTAGAGTAAGAGTAATAATACTACTACCACTGTAACTAACAGTGTTAGTAATTTAAATTAAATTGGGAGTGTCACAGTGGCTGTCTGTCAGATCTGTGTTTGACTAAGGTCCGAGTTAGTCTATGTTTGAACGAAAATCGGGGTTGATTCTGCAACATCCTGTAATGTAAAAAAGGATACACAACGTAACTAAAATACAAAATATTTAAAAACTGTAAAATTATAGTTCGTAAAGATTGGTTGGTGGGAAGTAGTATAATAAGCAAAGGCAGCCAGTGTTGAAAATGAATGTTGACACCGATATATTGGTTATTATGTTTAACATGTAGCAATTTTCTGTCAGCAATCAGTCGAATTAGACTGCTTTCTGGAGACCCTTAAACGCCTTTTAAAATGAGAGGAAGCAGGAAGGTAAAAGATATGGATAATTGCAATAGTCTTGTTTGCACTTGCAGCTGGCTGATCGCCTCAGCTCTACCTGTGAGATTATTGTATTTACCCGGGTCTTGCACTCGTTCTACCGTCTAGGGATTATAACACACAGACAACGCTCGGTCTCCATTGTATGAGCTGTCAGTTTATTCTTCCACATTCAGTGATACCTGCTAGTGATTATTCACGCACCCATATCTTCCAACCGACCATTAAACACTAGTCATCCACACAACATTGGAACTATTTCCTTTAATAAAATGACATCTTTTTATAAGACAACTGACTTCTGTGAATTCCCTGATGCGACTTACCACGAGTCTAGCTTGGGCCTGCCCACGTCTGCTCAACTGGCCCCAAGCCAAGAATCTTGTGTGGTTGTTTGTCGCACGGATTTTCCGCTTGGCTCGCTGTCAGCGTGGAGACCATGCAAAGCAGGGTCATCACCTAATCATCATCATGATGTGGCTGTAGATTGTTGCAAAAAAGGCAACTTAGAGGAAAATCCTTTATCTGACAACAATACAGACCCAACAAAATTTCACAGCTTTACAACTGTTCAAGATACTCACCCTATCTGATATTGTTTGCACTAAATTAAATATCAAGAAAAAAAAGATTTACACATCATCATGTGGTTGTAGATATGGTGCAAAGAAAAAGTGTAAACTGTCGGCCGAGTATTTGTTAGACTTGACTTCTTTTATCATAGTCATAGCCAACAAACTTTTTGGTAGTGTCTTTAAATTCACTTTTTGAAGCAAAATCAAGAAAATCACATGCATCATCAGGAAAAAATGAGAGAAATGTGACCCCCATGATGGTTCCGAGAATTTGACGCCATGATGAACATTTTTAATGTCTCACCGACATGGGAGCTAAGAAATTTCGTCAAATATTTACTTTAAGCACTACAAAGTTATTTTCCTTAATTAATCACGCAGAAGTGAATAAGCTAAAGGCTTCAACTAAATTCATAAAAAAAAAATTGCAATGTTAACATGACGGCGAGCGTCCAAAGCTACAGTCGCAAGGGGTGCAACCTTGGTAGCAAGAAGTAAATGTTGCCTTGCCATATAACGTGCGACTATGGTAGTTAGTGGGTTAACATGTTCTTCTTGCAGTCTGGTCATTGTTGCAGATTCATAGTCATCACTTGGTTCTCACAAACATCTACTTGTAGAGCATTCAGAACATCAGCATGGTCCATGGCTCGTCTGTCCTCCAGAGTAGCTTTACCTGCAAGCCAGTCAGCTTGCTCATTTCCTTACATGCCTATGTGTCCTGGCACAGATATAAAATCAATATGTGTTAGCCCCTACCGCTTTAGAGACTCCAGCAGCTGTTTTAGGATTTAGTCCTTCTCTTTAATCTCAAACAATATTAAAGAATGTTATTGTGTGAACTTGCACAAGCAGTGGGCTTTGTCCCCATAGAGCCGACATTTAAAGTATCACAAACTTACAGTAGGTTGCATCTCTTACGGTTGCCATTGGAAGTTGTGCCGACATTTATCTTATTTTCTTGCCTTCCATAAATTCATCCTAATTTAATGTATGTTACTCACTCAATAATGTTTTAAGGCATGATTTGGCTATATGAACCATCATTTTACTCTGCAAAGGTCTTCATCGGATGTATTCTTTCTTTCTCCTTAGATTACTCACACATCAGGACACTGCTCACAGCAATACTAGCTGAAAATAGCAACCTGGCATCAAGGTCAACATTCTCGTGAGAACAAAATCAGAAAACATTACCTACTGCTTGACAGTTATTTGTGTTTATTACCAATATCTTTGTGGACCAAAAAAGTGCTTTATCAACCACAGCACATTCTAATAAAGTTTATTCAAGGCTTTTCAAGTTTATGGAGATTGTGTATGACTTGACATCTTCTGATAAACTCATTTTCTCACTGGTCAGTATTTATTTGAAAGGCTCACAGTCAGTAGCCATCACCACTTTGTGATTACGTTGATTGGTCAGTCGTCAGAAATGGCAGCTACAAAGGAAGAGAGTCGACAGAATGATACAAAGTAAGGGCTTGTTTGTCTTTACCATTACCTCCCCTTTGTTTTGTGCTTTAAAGGCTGTTTTGTTTCAATTACCATTTATTTGACCTAAACCATGTTTTCTATAATGTAACATCTTTTTTTTTCTGTTTTGTGTTCACCAGCTGTAAACTATGGCAGAAAGTTTTAGTTGTTGATACACGTTTTTAACTTTAGTCTTGTTCTAGAACCTGTGTTTTCACTGCACATCCATTTTACAGTTCTGATATATTCATATGCAGACTGCTTGTTTCTCTCCTCTCAGTTAAATGTACTCTCACTTCGAAGGGAACATCGAGTAAGTGGGTGTCCGTCCAACCACCCCCCCCCCCCCCTTTCGGAACCCACATAGGGATACCATGTAGCTGTTCTCTGTTGTCCACCTGGCACTCCTTGGAGTTTATCCATCCTAATATCTAACCTTACATTGCTGATGATGGGATTGTGATAGGTGCTTTGTCTCACCAAGTTCGTGGTGTGATACTTTGTTAATCACTGCACATTCTGTATTTCCGTGTTTAGTCATCGGTGGTGTGTGTTTAGTCCCTAGTAGTGGCAGGATCCTTTTTCTATTTGGTATAAGTTTTTTAAATAGAAGTATGTGGGTTCCAGGGGCCTATTGTAAGGGAAAGGAAGGGGGGGGGGGGAATGACCCGCTGACCAACCGTGTTGTAAAAGTAAACTAATTAATAGTGTCTCTATCAAAGCTGGAGAGCATTTGTCTGAGAGGCAGATTAAAGTCCAGAAGTAGATGATCAATTGGTTATGAGGCTACCAATCTTCATAGTTAACCCTCCTAGGAGGGCTGGCCTATAGAAAATGGTATAGAAGTGGTATCTGAGAGAGAGGGTAGGGGGGTCACACACACACATTGAAGCAATTGTACAGCTGTTTTTTAATGTTGTGATTTCCTTGTTGCTATTACAGTGAGCTGGGATGGAAGGCGAAACTGCGACTACCACCACCAGATACCAGGATCAGAACATCAGTAAGTAGATTCCTCATTACTGTGTTGTGTGAAAATGTGCTGGTTGTGACTTGTATAGCAACATAAGTGTGTGAATTTGGCTTTCGTTTTTATGGTAGTATTGTGATTTATAGCTGAAGAAACATTAGATAAGGAAGATTTTCTGATGACTTATTGATTTCTAGCTGAAGATAAAGGGACAAGGAAGATTTATTAAAGATCCCTAAAATTCTTCTTCATGTTCACTAGCTGTAAACTCCGGCGAAAAGTTCTGGTTCTACATCCACCTCTGGACTGCAGTCCTGTTCCAGAACCTGAGTGTTGCATGTGCATCCGTTTGACAGAGATCTGACTAATTTGTATGCAGATTGCTGGTTTGTTGCCTCTAAGGAAGATGCACTCCGACTTCAAAGGAAGCTCCCATTTAGTCGACTCTTACGACATGCTTTTGGGCAGGCAGTGGGTCTATTCTTGTTTTCCCTATAATGGGACCCCGGAACCCACACGGGGAATCCGTATAAATGACTGCTAGTTGACTGTACAAGGGACTTATTTTGAAGACTTGAAATGTTTGTTGCTTGAAGACATAATGGCAGGTAAAACACCATTTTTAAAGATGCTTGTGTTGAATTCAAGCGTTGGGACTAGAGAGGACAAGTCTCTGAGTATTTACAACCAGTGTTCTGCTGGAATGATCTGCTCGACCTAATAACATTTGCTGAGAGAGAATGTTGAATTAAGAATTGACATCACAACACTCGCGACACTCCCATAAGCGCTCCGTCCCCATCAACAGAGCTACTGTCCTAATGACAGGACCATAAGCACCTGAGCACATTTTGCAGACCTGTTTATAACTTCAAAAAGAAACCTGGTCTCAAGAGCAAAGTGTGGAGAGCAAGCTGTGGGGAACCCTGAAGAACCTGCAGCCGACAGGCGAGTTCATAGAGGCAGCCTTTATGAACTCGCCTGATTGTCTGACCTGAGCATATGAAATTGAATGCTAAGAAAAAGAAGATTGTTAGCAGCAATATTTATGTGAACTGTTAGTTTTCCAGATGTAACAGCTTTTATTGTTTGGATTTTCAGGATGTAACAAACACCAAAGGCAACGAGTTTGAGGACTTCTGTTTAAAGCGAGACCTTTTAATGGGAATATTTGAGAAAGGTTGGGAGAAGCCATCACCCATTCAGGAAGCCAGCATTCCTATCGCCCTGACAGGGCGGGACATCCTTGCTCGGGCTAAAAACGGAACAGGGAAAACTGGTGCTTATGCTATTCCCTGTCTTGAAAAAATTGATCCAACAAGAGATTGTGTTCAAGGTATGTCCATAGTCTGTGTGTGTGTGTCTCTTCCTGTGTAGGTTCAGTGTTGTCTTCTCCATGTGGGTTCAGGGCTGTTCTCCTTGTGTTGGTTCAAGGTTGTCTTCCCTATGTTAGTAATAGACACACTGCTCTTTGTGACATGTCATAAAAGGCAACTGATTACAGTAAAACACAAATTTCTAAAGATCAAAAAAATTTGTGTGTGGAAAAAAACAAACATTGGTGGGACTGATAATATGCACCTGCTGAGACCAAAATTGTGTTTCTGTTAACAAAGTTTTTTAAGCAAGTTTGTGTGAAGGGGGCTTTGTTGTAGGAGTTTGTTGAAATCAGCTGAGTTGGGCTGAAAGTTGCAGATTTCATAGCCTAGCTGTAAATCACAACACAATGGGTGCCAACCACTCTTTTATGGGCAAATTCAGAAAGTAGGTTTGTGTTTACAGAATGCCTAAAATGTGACAATGAAGGGTGTGTTCATTCAGTTATGTATGTTTGTCTTCTTTTCAAAGGTACGTTTACATTTAATGTGTGTCATGCCAAATGTATTTTAGTCTGCTTGTGTTGCTGTTTAAGGTACAGCTGTGTACAAGGAAAAATGGGAATCATTATTGGATCTCTTTGTTTAGCTTCCTGGAAACAGTCTCTGGATAGAGTAATGCAGCTGGGTGTGACCAGAGGATCTGGCTGACATTGAGCACTCGGGATAGGCAAGAAAATAATGCTACCGTTACAGTCGGAATTAGAACTCTTCCTCGCTGGATTCTGAAGATCAGGACACAGTCATAACATCTAAGTGAAGTAATCATGGTAAAAAAATTATCCCCATGGCAGATTTAATTTGTGTTTTGTGTACAAGGTGGAACAAACCTAGCAATGACAAGTTGTCAAATAGTTAGAAAGGATAAAGTACATTGATATCAAATGTGACAGTCAACACATACCATCACTGACTTTTTCAGTGAGAAGTTAGGTATTGTCTTTTGTCTTGCTGTTGTCAAGAGTTGATTGTATCAGCTCTGTCCATATTTCTACCCGCTTGTATTAGTGTTTTGTTTGGTGAATCCTTACACAGAAGGGAGATATATGCGATGTCATATGGCCAGTGTCGAATTTGTCAACCTTTTATTCTGAAAGTAGATAATAGTATATACAGCATGGCGAAGCACTTTGCTGCCATCTTCGAGTAGAGGTACCTCAGGCTGGCTGCTGTATCAGAGGACTGAGCGTGCATGAGAATGCCTGTTGTGTAGTGGTGTCGATTGTGATAGCATAAAACAGCATCTTGTTGAATTTTCTGCCCTTTGTTCTATTTCTCTAGCCATGATCATTGTACCCACGAGAGAATTGGCCCTACAGACAAGTCAGATCTGCATCGAGCTGAGCAAACACATCGGCTGTCGCTGCATGGTAACAACAGGAGGCACCAACCTAAAAGATGATATCATGAGGCTCACTGAACCAGGTGAGTCAGTTGGCCCGCTCCTTAAAATTTCTTTATCTTTTTATGTGCCTGCATCCCACCTAGTTAATGCGCTTCGTTTATACCACTTGGTGATCAGTGTATCTGGGTGAATCTATCACACTTAGTTATCCTGTCTCTACTTTGTTTAATAAGACAGAATACTCAGTTTGTTCTACAGAGATGCACTTTACGTTCAGTAGAGAAATCACGTCTGGCCAAATATAAGCTGTATGGAATGGACACACCACAGCTTTCATAGAGGCCACGGCTTTTTTGTCTGAAAACCACTGTCTGGGAGAAGAAAAAAACACGTCCTGTCTGCAACTAAACTGCTACATTTATTGTGATGTCTAGTAAACAGTGTCACCAGATGGGATACTGCTGGACTCTCACAAACCCATCAGGTTGAAAGTCACAACTCTCTTTACTGTGATACCTCAGTAACAACATCAATGATTTTCTGAATGGCACTGTGTTTGTTCTATAGTTACTTACTCTCAAGGTCACATTGTGTTCTTCATCTATAGTTACTTTGTTAACTGGTTCTAGTGTCTCTACTGCCGCCTGGCTTCTAGAGCTGTCTGGTGCTAACGGTTTGATTGTCGACTCTGTAACAAGTCAAGTTTCTATCTAATGTATTTCTGTTAACCATGGATCCATGTATCTTGTCCATTGTCTCTTATAGCTTGATGTCTTGTTTTATGTTTCCTCTCTAGTGTCTGTCTTTGAGGTTCAATGTGACTGGCTTCTTTTGAGCTGGCATCTCCACCAACTAAAGGCTCCCTTCTGCGAGGGTCTATGTCACTAGTCCCTCCTCTTATAAGTCTTAATGATTATATAACTAGGTTATTCATTTGCTAATACCTCAGAGAAATGGGAAGGATAGAGGACTTTGGTGGCAGTGAATCCACATCTCGCCAGAATGGCAGACTTGGGAATTAAGATCGGCACAGCAAAAAACGAGACGCACACCGGACACATCAGAAGACTTGTTAATCAACATAGAACTGGTACTATTAGCCATCGGACATTGGGATTCATACTGAGGGGAGGATCTGAGCACCTATGGACATGTCCGGAGTGCAATAATGATAACCCAACTAACTAACTAATACCTCTCTGCATTTGATAGTTCTAGAAAGGAATGTACAGATTACTAAGACCTGTTAACTTTAGTCCCTTCAACTAATACTTAATATCCTACCTCCTGACAAAGTGATGACGTCTCCCTGTTACATTATATACAGACTGTAGCTGCATTGATCTAAATGTAGCTTAGCCATAATATGGTAGTCTCCATCTGTTTGGAGCACCTTCCTTCTCTTACACCCTAAATACGGTAGCAATGGGACATTGTCTGTTTTGGACAGCTAATCGCTCAGCTGTCTCAAATTCATCACCCAAATCACTTTCCAGAAAATCCAAATTTTTATTATTTTTTTTCGGAATTAAAACATCGGACTGAAACAATTTCAGAGCTTCGCCTGCAGAAAGACACATTTTGAGACATGCAACGTTATTATCCATAGCACTTGCACACAAACTTTGCACAGTTGAAAATAACGCTAGCTATGATTGAAAAGTCTATGCCCACATGTCTTAGGACCCTGAATTTTATTTAAAGGAAAACGTTACCTCCCCTTAATACTTTAAAAGTAGTTCCGAACATTATAAACAAATATGCGAAACTATACTTACAAGACACTCGATTGACACTGACTGTTGTTTCGGCAGATTTGAACTTCTCAGTCAACGCTCACAGTGTGGCTCAGGCCTTTAAGAGTTAAATTGTTACCATTCCCTTGTGGGTTCTGGTGCCTGTTGGGTAAGAAAAATAAAGAAAAAACACACTGCCATAAAAAAACCCAGTTAGGGGTGTTTTCTTTAAAGTCTGGGTACATATGCCCAAGATGTGAAGAACCAGCAGTCTGCATACAAATATGGCAGATCTGTAAAATGAGTCTGCTTGCAAAACTTAAGTTCTGGGACAAGACCAAAGTCCAGAATTAGACGAACAACCAGAACTGTCTGCCAGAGTTTACAGCCTGCGAACATGAAGAAGTTGTTACTTATCTGTTAGATCTCAGCTTTATGATTCCATTGTAAATGTTGTGCTGAACAACAAGCTAATTTTGTCACATGCATGCATTTTTTTTCTTAAAAACCGATAATCTCTTCCATGCTCATTTCCAGTGCAAGTGATGATTGCTACTCCAGGTCGAATCCTGGACTTGATGAACAAGAATCTGGTGAAGATACAGAACTGTAACGTTCTTGTGTTGGACGAGGTGAGCATTCTGTGTTTGTCATCGTCAGGGGCCTTAAAAGTCCCTGTTTGTATTACAGTCATCATCATCAGGGGCCGCATAAGTCCATGTTTGTAAGTCATCATCAGGTGTCTTATTACAAGTCAGTGTTACCATCATCAGGTGGCTTGTATGTTACCAGCTTCATGTGCCTTGTCAGCTGGCATAGGTGGTCATTCTTCTCCACAGTCATTTTGTTCCACAGTCTGCAACAGAAAATATCAATCTGTTTGTATGTTATTTTTCTGTGTCTTGATCAAAGAATATCCTATCACTTTTTCCCTATATCTGTTTTAATCCTGTAACTTAAAAATTTCACTAACCGAAAGGACTGTATCAGCTGAAAGGTACAAATATCTGTGCCATGCTGCAAATAGGCACACACCATATTTACATTCTCCAATAAACGCAGGCAAAAAATTGCTACATTATATTTTGTCTTTCTCTTATATGGTCCGGCAAATTTTGACTTTTATTTTTCTTCTTATTATGCTTATTTTTGCTTGTTTTTATGCTTGTTTTTGAAGTTGCAGTAGAGGTGGTCTTATTATAAGCTGTATAAACAGGGACGACATTGGGGTGAGGGTGCATGTGATAAAAAAAATAGGTACAATGACTTGGCTGGGGCCAGTTGAGGGCCTATGCTTCATTACAGAATATGGGCAGAAGAAGAAGAAAACTAAGTTTCTGCATTCAGTTTGCACCTGGGTCATCAGTGTCTCCATATTGCGACATTTGTTGTTAGCGTTATGAGAGGCGACTGATTAAATCCTGAACCAACTCACTTATGGAGATCTGTTCATGGTTGATTGGCATTCGCAGCCACATTTTATGGGAAGAGGTAGCTGGTCTTGCACCTACCCTCCTCTGTTGCCTCTTAAAACATGCATGGTTTATTTACAGCATAGTATTCTTTACATACTAAAGCCCGGCTGGCTAGCATAGTTGGTTAAACCTGACTGCGTGGCAAACAAGTGACGAACTCCTTGTGTCCTGGGGGTAGGCAGAAAAGCCACATTTCTCCCAGATTTACGCTATCATGGAATCAAGGCAGAAGGGTTGTGATATCCATAGTACCGAGCCAAAGGGTTAACAACTCATGATTTCTGGATACTTACAAAAAATCCTTTACTTACAGGCTGCTGTAACATATGAAAGCATATGTAACATTTGGACTAGTGGAGCACAGTCCCAGAGAAATCGTTATCAAACCAAATAACCAGAAACACATGCTAAAACATGTTTTCTTCTTATAGATGATTGTTGTATTGGGTTTAACAATCAGTAATCTTACTTGTTACAGTTATTTGCAGTTTCTGTTCTTGGTGTGTTCACTTTTGTTTGTCAGATAAATCTAAACAGAGAAATGTTTTTGTCCTTTATAATGCAGGCAGACAAGCTGTTGTCTCAAGACTTCAAGGGCATGTTGGACAGCATTATAGGGCACCTACCAGACGACAGGCAGATCATGCTTTACTCTGCTACATTCCCGCTTTCTGTAGAATCTTTCATGGTAAGTTCTCTCTCTCTCCCCCCCCCCCCCTTTCTTTTTTTTTCTTCCCCTCATTTTTTTTTCTTACCTACCATACCTATCTGTCTGTCTCAGGACAGTTCATATGGTGTCAGTATGATATGTGTGTGTATGTATGGTTGGTATGGATAGATAGATGCAGTCTGTTAACATATTAGTATATATGGTTGGATGGACTCATGAGTGGGTCCTTATGTCTGGATAGATAAATGAAGGAATACATGAATGTCTCATAGTATGTGTGTGTTTATGGATCTATAGGTACATGAATGTCTCCTAACATATGAGTGTGTTTGGAAGGATGGATACATGAATGTCTCCTAACATATGAGTATGTTTGGGAACTCATAAGGGTAGTGCTTAGCACAATTGTCTGCTAGTCCAGGGGTCATTTTTCGAAATTCTTACAGAGGCACATTTTTAACATTGACCAGGGATCCCTTTGAGAAGGTAATCTAAAATGAGTACCAGATACTGCTTTAAGAAGTAAAGACAGCCCCCTGATATTGGCCCCACTACCAGCCAAATAACAGTTGGTCTGTTAACAAAATGGGGCTTGTGTGGAATGCTCAGTACATCTCTAGATGTAGAAACACGCCCTAACTTTTGTTTATTTATGCTATTCCCTCTTTCCACACAGAAGTGTAATATTTTGCTATAGGGTAGCATTGGAATCACAGCTTGGGTGCTGACACATCTCCATGCCCTCCAAGAACGAACTTTATTTTTGGGAAAAACTGAACATGCAGGCCATATTACATCTGACCCTTCTCAAACATCCATCTTTCACACAGCAGCAGTTGTTTTTTATCAATAAAACATGTTATTTCATAAAATATGCATATTATGAATATTAAGAAAAACAAAGCATGGGTGGTAAAATGTATGCACACACTTGCATAAGTACACACCCATCAGCTCACTCATTTACATACACATACACACGAAGGGCCGTCAAGGATCTTTTAACTCTGTAGTCCTGTCTCTTTCCAAAAATTTTTAGTCTTAGTCTGTTGTTAAACTGTATTACACATGTTGCTAAGAAATTTCAGCCATTCTTCTGTTAAAAACCATATCTTCGAGCCCGCATTTAAAAAATAAAACACTAGTCTTAAATAATTGCTAATTATTGGTACACTTTTTATGGTTTTATTGTTAAGTTATTGTTTTTTTTTTTAACTGTTTTGTTTTCCTGGTTGGTTCTCTTAAGTTATTGAGATGAAAATTTTGCAAACCTTGGCAAGACAGGTCTGATAGTACAATTTGATCAACACACGTTATTTATTGGTCTACAGAAGAGGTATTTAAAAAGTCCTTATGAAATCAACTTGATGGAGGAGCTGACACTGAAAGGTGTCACTCAGTACTACGCGTTTGTGCAGGAGAAGCAGAAAGTCCATTGCCTCAACACACTTTTCTCTAAGGTAAGCTCTCATCTTGGATGATTTTAACGATCATCATTGTGTTTGAAATGGGTGGTGAGGGGTTCACTATTTTGTTTGTTTGTTGGTGACACCAAGAGGAGGCAGCTACAGTGGGCTAGATACTTGCTTCTGGCCCAAAGGTCTACAATGTGAGTCTGCATCAAGATGGATCTTCATAATAGGCCTAGGCTTCTAGCTTGATCCAGCCTGAAATGTATCAGGAAATGTCTTGGGAGGTAAAGACTCTTGGCTTGATGTTGATCACAGTACCCCGAATGCCTGCTGGCCTATGAACAATGGGTATCACATGATATGCTTAAACAGAGGAACTCCATTGCACCAGTCAGAATCCTGTTGAGTGTATACTAAAATCCGTGCATACTGTGAATGTACTGCTGTGTGTCGATCTAAAAAAAAATTGGGATATCCTCCGAATAACAGGCACAAAAGATGGCGGCTGCAAAAAAAACATCCTAAAAGAGCCTCAGTCACATGTCAATTGCGCACTTCCGGCGACTTAATTTGCTGTTTTCCGACGACTACCGTTTTGTGTCCTTTTATCAGTCCTTCACTTAGTAAACAAAGAAATGGTCATTGTAGAGCTGGTTAATGTGATTTAGAGAACTTGTCAAGAAAGTTGAAGGACCGCAGAGAGTTAAGTATATCATGTCTTGAGCACACCATCCTGTTTTTGACATATTCAAAAATCGCTGAACTGTCATTGCTAAAAAAGACAGTATGTCATGGTCAGGACTAAAGAAAATGAAAAAACTCTTTAAAGCATTTTTAAAAAAAACCTTTGTTATGACACTGCTGTTCACAAGGAATGAGCCTTTAAAACTTGTTACTGTTGCGTTACTTTACATTAACACGGTTTTAATTTTCTCTTTCCTCATTTCTTTGTTCAGCTGCAGATCAATCAGTCCATCATCTTCTGCAATTCCACCCAGCGGGTGGAGCTGCTGGCCAAAAAGATAACAGAACTGGGCTACTCATGCTACTACATCCATGCCAAGATGAACCAGCAGCACAGGAACCGCGTCTTTCATGACTTCCGCCAGGGCTTATGTAGGAACCTTGTCTGCTCTGGTAGGTTTATGATCGTTTGTTGCTTTCTGTTATCTTGGAAGTCAGAGTGCATTTGTCTGAGAGGTGAGGAACCAACAGTCTGCATACAGTTTTGCCGGGTCTGTAAAAACGGATGTGCACAGAAGTCCTGAAAGAAGACCAAAAGTCTAGAAGTGAACGCCACCAGCACTATGGCGTTTTGTAAGCCTTACAGCGTCAGACCTTCAGGTTCTGTTGGTCTGCCATCCATTCAGACTTTTCAGGTAGCAGCCCAGAGAGGCTAAGCTGTACACACACTGATAGTGCTTTTTGAAGTGGCAGCACTGGATCTTGAGAAAGTTATCATGCACCCAGAAAAGACAGCTAGTTTATGGTGCTATCTAGACAATAGGATTGTTAGCTGATATCCCATGCCTCACAGTTAACAATAGAAACATCAGAAGAGAGTTACAGCAAAATGACCCCCTCCCCAAAGGGTCAATGCTGTGAAGATTATGGCAGCTAATGGTCGGTGCAACGAAGAATGATGTTCAAAGTGTGCCATTACTTCTCGGTAATGGATTATGCACAGGGGCTGCTCACCATATTGAATAGTCAGCACCTGGCTTAATTGCATACAGGATGGAGCCATGCAGGTGAATCTTATATGTATTTATAGGAGCACTTATGGGAATGTCCTAAATACTGTGATGTCAGTTCTTCAACTCAGCTAAACTGCTTCTGGAAATGTTTGCCAGGGTCAGCTTTCCTGGCCAGGGAAGATATGTCAAAATAAAAAAAATTTGGGTTTGAAGAAATCATTACTGAATCAAAAGGTGGCTATTGTTTTTACAGGATGAGGTAGCTAACCCCAAGCCCAACCGTACCCTTAGTCACCTCTTTCAGCATGCTTGGTAGGGTACAGTGTTGCTATTCTTTGCTTTCCATGAGGGCCTCGGTAATTTGTCACCAGATGTTTCATTTTAATAGAAGAAATCATGCCTGCCTCCCTCACATCTTTTTAAAAAAAACCGTATTGCGTAGGCATTGCGAACATGCTCCATAATGCTGGGTTTGATCCCATTTGCCGACGATTTGGCAGCAGAACATTTCATGTTGCGTCGACAGAGGTACCAAGAGCTGACTGTTCAGAAGCAATTGCAAACTGCTGAACCTAAAGTCACAGAATGCTGGGGTTGGTTCTGCAACATCCTGTAAAGGATACACAACTTACTTTTTTAAACCACATCTCTGAGACCTCTAGACATTTGTCTGACTTGTTCACTAATCATCAAGTAGTCATAGCCGTATGTTGAAATTGCCTCGCAGATCAAGATATTGCCGCTTAATCAGTTTTATTTGAGTGAGCTTCTAACTCATTCATGCTTTTGTGAAGAACTTACTCTTTCACGCTCCCTGTCTAAAGCACAAATTTGACCTTTATATGTCTTAAAGTGGGGTTGGTTTAATGACCTTTTGTGCTATTGCTTATTTGGCAGCATATGCCACTGTTCTGTAGATCAGGACATGGTTTTATGCACAAATTTTGTTGGAAGAAAATAACAGACTGACTTACCTTTAACATGTATGTTGTAAAAAGTGACCAATTAGGGGTTTGCTGCGATCAGGTAGGCACGGATGTCGCAACCTATCTGTAAGCCTTAACCTGTCAGCTGACCATTTAAATGTGAACACAGGAAAATTTGATTTTTCTTAACTGGCATAATACCCTGAATATGCTGCCTGTTTTGCTTAGAGGTGGGTTGTATGTTTCAGATCTGTTCACTAGAGGTATTGACATCCAAGCTGTGAATGTTGTCATCAACTTTGACTTTCCCAAGCATTCAGAAACATACTTGCACAGAATAGGTCGATCTGGCAGGTACGGACACCTAGGTGTGGCCATCAATCTCATCACTTACGACGACAGGTGAGTGTATTTGGATGTGTTGCTTCTTCGTCTTGCACCTAGATTCTTCTCTGTAGCATTGAATATTTATTGAATGTTTCCCTGTGTGAGTTCTGGGGTAAATAGAATAGACTTGCTTCCCTCAGCAGTCATTTAGTAATTAGGCTACTAATTGATAATTTGCTCAAATTGGATTTGTTGGGCAAAATGAACAGGTTTCACACCAAAGCTGTGAACCACAACACATTCTAACCACAATAGAGGGAAAATGTTAAAAATTTTTTTTAAAAAAAACCTGCTAAATGACAAATGTGTGTTGGATACCTAGTGTTGTCTGATGGTGGCGCTTGTCAGTATTCGATACAATCTGCTGATGTCTGATAATGTTGTCATTGTGGGATGCCATGCGTTGATGTCTGATAGTGTTGTCATTGTGGGATGCCATGAGTTGATGTCTGATAATGTTGTCATTGTGGGATGCCATGCGTTGATGTCTGATAGTGTTGTCATTGTGGGATGCCATGTGTTGATGTCTGATAGTGTTGTCATTGTGGGATGCCATGCGTTGATGTCTGATAGTGTTTTTATTGTGGGATGCCATGCGTTGATGTCTGATAATGTTGTCATTGTGGGATGCCATGCGTTGATGTCTGATAGTGTTGTCATTGTGGGATGCCATGTGTTGATGTGAGATAGTGCTGTCATTGTGGGATGCCATGTGTTGATGTCTGATAGTGTTGTCATTGTGGGATGCCATGTGTTGATGTCTGATAGTGTTGTCATTGTGGGATGCCATGTGTTGATGTCTGATAGTGTTTTTATTGTGGGATGCCATGCGTTGATGTCTGATAGTGTTTTTTTGTGTGGGATGCCATGCGTTGATTTCTGATAATGTTGTCATTGTGGGATGCCATGCGTTGATGTCTGATAGTGTTTTTATTGTGGGATGCCATGTGTTAATGTCTGATAGTGTTGTCATTGTGGGATGCCATGCGTTGATGTTTGTTAGTGTTGTCATTGTGGGATGCCATGAGTTAATGTCTGATAGTGTTGTCATTGTGGGATGCCATGCGTTGATGTCTGATAGTGTTGTCATTGTGGGATGCCATGCGTTGATGTCTGATAGTGTTGTCATTGTGGGATGCCATGCGTTGATGTCTGATAGTGTTGTCATTGTGGGATGCCATGCGTTGATGTCTGATAATGTTGTCATTGTGGGATGCCATGCGTTGATGTCTGATAATGTTGTCATTGTGGGATGCCATGTGTTGTCTGATAGTGAGGATTCTTTTTTTGGAGGAATGTCTGTGATAGTGGGGATCTAATTGTTGGATATCTTATGTAGATGTCTAATAGTGAGAATCTAATTGTTTAACATCTGCCAATGTTGGATATCTAGTGTTGTCTGATAGTGAGGCCGTCTCATTGTTGTCTATCACACATACAGTGCTGTTTCACCCAGAGCAAACAGTATTAGATTACTGAGGAAAAAATAGTGGTATTAAATTGTGCTTTGCTAGAGAATCTTGTCTTCTGGTAATGTACGTTGTCCAGATATTTGATGTCTTGCAAGTTAAACTGGCAATTAAAGATTTTAACATGTCCTTGTCCAGGTTTGCTTTGCACAAGATTGAGCAGGAGCTGGGTACCGAGATCAAACCTATCCCCAAAACCATCGACCCATCTCTGTATGTGGCCGAAGCTCAGCCAGATGATTCTGAAAAGGATGATGAATACTACAGGCAGCAGCAGCAGCGGCAGCAGAACTATCACTCGCAGGTGATGGGCAATCACCATCAGCGTACTCCCAGAACACCAGCTGTGCACCAACATCAGATGCACAGGGCACCACCACCTCACAACCATCAACAGATGAACAGGGCCCCACCGCCTTACAGTCAACAGCAAATGCCCAGGGCACAAGCCCCACTACAGCAGGCATCCAGGGCACCACCTCAGCACCAGCAGCAGGCAGTTGCCTAGACTTCTTGTAGAAATGTAATTAGCCTCATTGAGTTTGTAAGTGTGGTGGTGTGGCTTTTGTGGTTATGGGATTCATTGGATCATCTGTACAGTGTATGCTTGCGCTAGTGGTGAAAGATGTACATTTAAAAAAGTTTGAATTATATTATGTTTAACCTGTACTTCAAGAATCGGACATCATGTGTTAAATTGCAAAATTGCCATCTGGATGTCAGCTTTACCAAAATTGTTGCCGGAAACAGACATAAATAACATGACAGTGTGGTGAGAATCTTCCCGGCATATGTAAATATTAGATGGCAGACATTCCGTATGTGTCGTAGCTAATAGAATAATGTCGACATGCAGTCTCTGAGGTTTATTTGTTGGAATGACTCGTCCGATATTAACTACAATTCACTCGGAGTGCAAACGGCAACTAATCATGTTTTGGATCACACTACAGTTTAACACTACTTTCTTGGCTTATTCTGTGTCGGGCAACTGAAATGTTACTTTCTGGAACTTGTTTCAGCTAATTATTGATACTTTGAAATAACTGTTTTGGTAAAGAGTTAAATTAGCTGTCTGGGACAGAATGAATCAAGAACAGTCTATTTTTGAAGTTGCAGGGATAACTAAATATTTTCCTGGTGTTTGGGGAGTGTTGCAAGTGGTTTTGAAGTGGCGTATACAAGTTTTTACATACAAATTATTTTTCTTGGGCGGTGTGTGTGGGTGGGTGGGGGAAGAATAATTGTGCCTTTGATCCTGATCAAGTCTCTAGTAGATGGTGATGTGTAAATATAACCAGGAGCTGGTTTGCTCCAGTTCATCTACAGAATATGTGTGAATGTAACCGAGAACTGGTTTGCTCCAATTCATTTACAGAATATGTGTGAATGTAACCGAGAACTGGTTTGCTCCAATTCATTTACAGAATATGTGTGAATGTAACCGAGAACTGGTTTGCTCCAATTCATTTACAGAATATGTGTGAATGTAACCGAGAACTGGTTTGCTTCAGTCATCTACAAAACGTGTGAATGTAACCAGGAACTGGTTTGCTTCAGTCATCTACAAAATTTTGCTGTGTGAATTAACTGGGACGCGATTTGCTCCAGTTCCGTCTATAAAATGTATATGAATGTAATCAGGGCCTGGTTTGCTTCCATTCATCTACTAGATGTATCAGTGTGAATGTAACATGGACCTGGTTTGCTCCAGCTCATCCATAAAATTATTGTGATTAGGACCTAGAATTGGGACCTGTTTTGCTCCAATTCATCTACACAGTGTTTTGTGTGAATGTAACTGGGACATGGTTTGTCCCAGTTCATCTACGACATATTGCTGTGTGAATGTAACCAGGAGCTGGTTTGCTCTTATTCATCTAGAAAATATTTTGTGTGAATGTGGTGAGGACCTGGTTTGCACCAATTCTTGTACAGATGTTGCTGTGTGAATGTAACCAGGAGCTGGTTTGCTTCAGTTAATCTACAAAATGTTGCTGTGTGAATGTAATCAGGAGCTGGTTTGCCTCAGTTAATCTACAAAATGTTGCTGTGTGAATGTAATCAGGAGCTGGTTTGCCTCAGTTAATCTACAAAATGTTGCTGAGAATAACCAGAACCTGGTTTTTGCCAGTTCATCTACAAAATGTTGCAGTGTGAATGTAACCGGACCTGGGTTTGTTTTTAATTAATTCATCTACAGATTGATGCTGTGTGATTGCAAGTGGGAGCTGGTTGGTTCATTTCTCGACAAAATAATTTTTGAAATTGTACCTAGTACTGGTTCTAATCTCTTCTGGGTGTTGCCATCTAACCAGGGCTGTTGTCATTGTAAACGCAACTGGAAGTTGACTTACTGTCATTGACAAACTGATGGTGTGTGCATGTAACCAGGAGTCAGTTGTCACCCAGTAAATGATGCTGTATTCATGTAACCACCAACGGTTATTCATCTAACAAGTGAAAATGTTGTGTGAGTATAACCAGGTGCTAATTGTCTGTTGCGAATGTGATGTGGTTAAATGGAGCAGCATGCATGACTGACATCTCACAGCAAAAGTTGTTTTCCTGAGGCATCTTCACATGGAGCTGACCTCTGTTGTCCTGCCTCTGGAACAGATCCTTCCGTCATATAGGATTGCAGTTGAGGGGTCCAGTTCTGTAGTGCCATTTCCAACATCTCAGTGGGATGCTGTTTGTTTCTGTGATTGTGATTTTTCATATGATTTTAATGTCATGTTTCTGACATCATTGATATTTTGTTTAAGGGTCACTTTCTATGGTCGTGTTTAAATAGTCCCTTAAAATGGGCATGTTTCGAGAAAGTGACTTGAGGAGGTTGCCAGTTTGACTTAGTGTGGCGGAGGCAGAGCTGATGGGGGAAGTTTTAGTTGTTTTTTTTTTTTTGAAATCCTGAGCATTATTTTAAATCATTGAGCCTTATATGGAAACAGTGAGATTGATTGTAAAACTGAGCATTTTGTTTAAGCAGTGGTGTGACTTGTGAAGCCATATCTTTGTCACTCCATTGAAAGGTACTGGAGGTGTGAGAAGTGGTAGAACCATGACCTCATATCTTTGTCAGTCTACGCATAGGTCATGGAGGTGTTAGCAGTATTGGAAGCAGTCAGACAAAATTCAGATCATGTGACTTGTCAGTAAGAAAGTGAATGAATGCAGCATTTTGGCATCACTGCTTTTTGTTTCATTAGATGTTGTTGTATCGTATGTTCATGTGCTTTTGTTACTGTACATATTACATTGAACATTTGCCATGAGGTGAGAGTCTGAACCTGCACCTGAAGCCAGGCAACCAGCAGTAGCAAACTGCTGACAGTTCAGCACTGGATGCCTTCACTTGGGACCCTTTACAGCATTGCTGCGTTCCCTTGAGGCATTCTGTGGAAGGATTGCATAGATCACACATAGTTATTATGTCAGGCCAGTCAGTGGAAAGATCCTGTATATCACACACAGGGATTACTGTGTCAATAGTCAAGACTCACAGGGAAAGGATTGAGCAGTCAGTTTGAAAATGACTTGCTTGGAGACAGAACTGATGTAACATTTGCTTGGACTGCTAATGATTGTGGTCTTTTTGCTTTTCTTGCTGGCTGATTTGGCGATCTTCTGATGGATCAGCAACTGTGTTGTTGATTGCTTGCCTGGCAGGGAGGCCATGTTGAGGCTTTGATTATTGTAACCTTTGAACTGTAGGATTTGTTTTTAGGCGTTTGTTGTGGAATTTGTGCAGGGGTTATGTCAGCCCTGGGGAGGGGAGGGGGGGGGGGGAGGAGAGAGAATGAGTAGTTGTAGAAAAACCCTTTGAGGTGACCTGGAATATGTGTGACATACCAAGTATGTTGTATGTATGGGACTGCTGGGAGTTAAATCAGTATATGTGTGGTGGGCATTTTAACATGTCACATTCAGTTTGGCACTTTCAGCTTGTGTGATGGGTTACTTGGTATGTGTGATGTTCCACAGCTGACATATCTAATGGATGGCAGTGTTAAGTGAATTTGAACATCATGAAAATGTCACGTCATCTGCTTGAACAGTATTTAAAAAAAAAATACCAGGCTAACAATAAAAATCCAACACATTTACTGGAAGGGATTTGAAGAGCCCACTGAGTTGAGAATACAGATTTTTTTTAGTTATATAAGAAGGCAATTTAACTTCAGTCATTGACAGTGGTATGAAAGGCGTGTTCCGGCAGGCATCCAGACATGTCTTTGAGGTCTGGGTTTAACTCCAGGCCACAGCATTCCGTTGAAGTTAATCCATTTCTTTAGAGAATTGTGCCCCGCATTTGGGACATTTATGCCAGAAAATCTGCTTATGTGACTAACTATTTTCCGGCTAGAATGTGTTGGCATAGGGGTTCAAAAAACTGTTCAGGCAAAAATATGGCCATGCATGACTGACTTCTCTGTTAGTCAGAACTGTGTCCTTGCTGATGCTGAGTTTGTGTGATGCAACTTCAGGTAATGTGTGTGTGCAAAGGAGATAACTACTGGTTGTGTTCTTGTGTGAGGAGATTACTGGTTATGTGTTGGTGTGTATGTTTATGTGTGAGGAGATAACTGCTGGTTATCTGTTTGTGTTTGAAGAGAACTGTTTGTTATAAGCTAGTGTTTGTGTCTGAGGAGACTACCGGTTGTCTGGTAGTGTGTGTGTGTGTTTATGCATGAAGAAATAACTACTGGTTACATGTGATAGGTGATGGTTGCAGGCTGCTTGATACATCCCTGTGCAATGGTTCTTCATGGCAGGGGTAACCGGCATCTGTTGTCTATGCTGTCATTTTGATTTTCTGTGTAATTATCTTGTATAAATCCCCCACTCCTCGACTCTTACTTACATAATGTTGAGATGTTGATGTATATAACATTAAACAAAAAAGCTTGTTCAAATGCATGCACACACATGGTAGCAAAAAGAGCAGCTACGTTTTACAGTATTTGCCTCTAGCTCATGTAGCCTGGTTCGATACACCAAATGCACTTGATCAAAGTAAGAACAGGATGAGCAGAATTAGGACAATGCTGACGGGATGCTGTCATTAAAAAACCACCTTTAAAAATGGTGAACTTTTACAGCATACCAGAGTGATTGCATCGATGACACTGCTGGGGAAGAGAAGGAAAAGTAAAAAAAAAACAGTTTGATAATAGGCCACCATGACCTGGCACTTATGGTCAATGGCCAGCCACATGAAGGCCTTCTTTATATGGTGCATGTTATGTTTCCCTTTTGCAGTTGAGAATAGAAAAGACCAGATAAATAGGCTGCTGTAAACCTGTATACCAAAAAAGAGGGGGGGGGGGGGGGGAGGACAAGAAATTAATATAAATTAGTTGAGATTCTGGTACACACATTTGGAATCTTTGTCATTGATATGGAGTTTGTGCTGCAGGATAAAGTTCTCTTCTTGTGTTCTGTGGGAGATAATCTGAACATTTATGACGACCACACTAAACATACAATATCCACAACATACCA